AAGCAGCGCGCTCACCGACGACGGGTGAGAAGCCTCTCCATGAGACAGCAGACTAACTCTCTCTCTATGCCGTTCCAGAAAGCACTGAATGACCGGTCAGCCCCTCCACGAGCACGGCACGGATTCACCTGGACACGACCGAGAGGACCTCAGCGAGCTAGAGCCCCATCACCATTCACGTAGTCACTTGTCATTTAATAAATCCATCCTCCGGGGCCTTACACCAAGCTCTCCTTGTTGCGTGATCCTTCCACCCCACCACACTGGTGGAGAATGTGGGCGAGTTAGACAAGCGATGTCCCAGGGTCTCACCTTTCTGTTTTTTTTTCTCTCGGTCTACCTCAGGCCTCGACCGGCTTCACCCCTTTCGAGCTGCTGTTCGGACGCCAGCGCTCCAGGACTTGCACTTCCTAGTGCAACATCGGGCCGGAGTGGCCAACTCCAATGCCAACGGCCTCTCCCGGATTTGGTCAGCTTTTGCAGGTCTATCGGGGGTCACTCCCCACCCACCCCTTGTGTCTCCCCTATTAACACCATTTTTCACCACGAGCACGACACGGATTCACTGGCACCTGGACACGACCGAGAGGACCTCAGCGAGCTAGAGCCAGCTGCAGAGACTTTAACAAATCAACTAACAGATTTGGGTCACAATGTGACCGTAAACTGTTGATGTACAGGAGTTTAGTTGGTTAAATAATTAAACGACCAGATTCTCTGGTCCTGATACGCTCTTCAACAACTTCAGCTGCTTTTCATTACAATAAAGCTTTTAAACAGAAATATTCAGTGCAAAGTAAACATTGTCTGTTCATAAATAATGTCTCTCTTGATGATTTAGGACTTTATTACTGTGTGACCACATACTTTCCTCCGAAATACAGCGACTGCACCAAACACATCACTGGTGATTGACCATTTACTGATCATATCGATCACACTGGCAGATGATTGTCCTCATATCTGCTTTCATAAATGCGTTTCTGATCATTGTGATCATAGGTGAGTTACTTGATAAAGCTATAAGTATGGCTACAAATGTCATGGTTTAAAAATGATGCTACAAAATGGACAAAAACACTACACAGTTATGTTTTGACTCAAGCCAAACACTGACATGTTACATTCAACTATAAAATTGATTGTGTCTCTCTCAATGTTTAAGTTTAAAGCTTAGAAATGATCATATAATTAAGCATATGTGTTGAAATTCAGGCCAATATCACTGCTGAGAGAGTGATATTGCTTTTATACACCAATTTTCTGTATATGATGTTTAGGGGCAAGTAAATATAAAATACTCCTAATTATGCATGTGAGACTTTAACTGTTTCCATAATCTGTCCTAGAATCAGGAATACATGTTACTTTCATGTTTTCTGTTGGTCTTGTTCTGTGTCTTTGTCATTTGTCGTTTTCTATTACTGTCAAAACACAATAGAGCAGACCGCAAGAGAGCAGCGCTGAGCTAGAAACTAAATGGATTTAGACTAACCTTGTATTTAAAAAAAAAAAAACATTATGGTGTAAATATACAAATTCAAATGGTGCACAACACAACGGGCTCTATTTAAGGTCCTGATAAGGACTACAACTGTGGAAGGCACAGCAGGAAAAACATCCTGTTTAATTCCAAGGTAGCCTAAATAAAAAAAAGTGGACATTAGTCACTGAAAAAATAAATATAAATAAATAAAACTTGACTTTATAAGTGGACCTCAGGGGAAAAATAACTGAAATAAAAAAATGAATAATCAACATTTATATGACACCTTTCAAACGTTGAAAAGACTGTAAAACTCAAGCATTATTATTACTGTTTGTGACCACCAGAGGACAGCATTGGCCCACTGTAGGACACTTAAAGGTGCCTTAATTGAACAACTTGCTTGAGCTATATTACTTTTAAATAATAAATAAAATTATGCATTTAGAGAAATAAAATGTATAATAATAATAATAATGGACATGGTCCTGTGGACATTTCAAAGACAATAATAACAACATGAGAATAATAACATATGACAAATATGACTTTATTTGTGATGGTTAGGTTGCATTTGATTTTGACTTCATTATTATGTTAGTTGTGATCAGTTGATTTAGGGCTTGTGTGCTGTTTGGATGCAATCAATGTAATATAATGCAATAGCATTAGGTTGAGTAAGAACAAAAGAATACATTATTTTCATGACAATTAAGCATAGTTCTCCCTAAAATTCACATTAATGTAGTGTAAATATTTCTTATTATAATATATTGATTGAAATGATCCTGACAATGATTTTATTGTTAGATTAATCAACTGTCGTTGTGTCTCCAGTGCATTGTAATGTCTCCGGTTGTCTTTAGCTCAGACGAACAAGGTAAAACCACAGAATATTCAATAAAACCTATTCAAACAGAGAGAAGTGGCAATAAAAGTGTTTTTTTTTTTCATGCAAGAACCATAATAATTTGCTTTCTGAATGATTGTTGACTGAATGGTGTCTAAACAGTTATGTTTAAACACTGTGAATCCATTGGTTTAAGATATGCATGTGCATCAGTAGAAAATACAGGTGGCTGTTGAAGTAACAATCCATAATGTGACCAAACAAATTCAGTTTTTGAAATGTAGTTTCTGTTCCCACTCGATTTCGAGTGAACGGGCTCTTCTCATTCCTATTAAAAAAAACATGAAAATGCAAATATATATTCCAAAGTGAGATGACACTGTATGCCGCTAGAGGGAGCGTGAATGTTGTTGTGTTTTTAATATGTGCGCCACTAGAAAAACGAAAGTGAAACAAGTGAAAAAAAGAAAAATAAGTGACGTACCATTTCGAGGCTATAATCGTTTTTTTTTTTTTTTTTTTTTTTTAATATGCCTATTTCATATTTTATGGTAAGTTCAGAACGTATTCTTTATGTAACCATGTAGTCCTACAAAAATGAGCTGCTTATTTGGGTTTTTAGTCTTCATTGTGTTTCGACAGCTAAACACCAAAATGCCTGAAGCATCGACTAAAGTGTTCATTTTTTAATCTGATCTGTTTTAATTTTATACAGCATGCAATATGACTAAACGCCGTCGTGTGTGTGTGTGTGTGTGGGTGTGTGTGTATATATATATATATATATATATTGATATATTGATATATATTGATATATATTGATATTGTGGCGTCAACAACATGCTAAAGGTTTGACATAAATTGTGAGTTTGAATATATTTCTCCACCAGGACACATTTTAACTGATTTTCTTTTCACATTTTAACTGAAACAATATAACACTAGAAAACGAGACACTGTCATGTTGTCATTGTGCCCCTGCTGTAACCTATATTAAAAGCTGAGTAAACAGTGATAAATTAGTAGACTACATGTAGCCTGCCTGAATATAACGAAAACATCTATTTGAAAATGATTACAATGATGTTTAAAATCAAACCTTAATTTATTGTATCTGTACTATCTCTGTGTTTCCACAAGGTTTGAAATAAAATCTCTGATAAATGAGAGTAGGAGGACATTGACTGTAAAATGAGTTCTTCATCTCCAAGCTATGATCAACCCATGGGGAATGATCCCTCTGAATTCAGTGATGAAACTGTGACTTCTGACTCCAGGTAACACGAAAACCATTTTTGCATTTGGCAGATGTCTGTAACTACAATGCATTCCAGTACCTTGCAGTTGGTGTGTGTGACCAGCGCTCTGATCCCATCAGAGAGCCATAACTTTCCTGAACCTTAACGTTCACTGTTCCTCTGTTGTTCGAATCACGTTAACTAAACTTTACAGTAACGGTCTTTTCATCTCGGGAATGATCAGTATCGTAGGATTACAAATCTAAACATGTTTAAGATCTGCTGATCCTATGTCCTGACAAAACATTGCATGAAAACTAAGGTGAACCATACTGTATTTGGTGTTCAAGGTGAACATGATAGCAACAACACATGACAAAACATTACAGTCTGTTGTAGGGGACACTAATAGCATTATAGGAATTGTTCTTGGTGTGAACAGCCCATTTCAATTCTGTCATCATTAATTCACTCTCGAGCTGTTCCAAACCTGTCAAGACTTTCGTTCATCTTCAAAACACTAATTATATTTAAAACCTGAGAGATTTCTGTCCCTCCATTGGAATTTAATGGTACCAAAATGTTGAAGATCCAAAAGGGTCATAAAGGCATCATAAAACGAATCCATATGAATCGCATGATTTATTCCAAGTTTTGTGAAGAGATATGATTGCATTTATGATGAACAGATTTAATTTAGGCTTTTGGAAGACCATTTTTGGATATTTAGTTTTGGTGATGTGGACTTTAAATGGAGGAACAGATATCACTGAGCCTTAATTAAAAAATGTTTGAAAATTTGTATCAAAAATGAACAAAAGTCTTACATGTTTGGAAACATATGAGGGTGTGTAAAAGATGACATTATTATTATTATTATTTTATTTTTTTTACATTTTTGCGTAAATAAAGCCTTTAAAGAGGGCATTGGATGGCCATTTTCCATAAGTTGGTATGATTCTTTAGAGTTTTCATAAAATGTCTGCAACATATTTTGATTAAAATTCATCAATGGTCATGTAAAGCCACATCCTTTTTACCTTGTCAGAAACAGCTCTGGCGTGTTGAGTCAAGACGCGTGAATTGCTGCCTTGGACTCCATATATGGATCAGAACTGGTCTTATTCAAATAGCTAGCTATATACGTATAAACAGGCTGCAAATTGAAACAGCTCACTGGATGACACAGTTACAGGCTCAGACAGCCCATAACAAACTGGCTGCCTGTTTTCTTTTCAGCTTTTCTGAGCTGGCAGTCATGAAATGCTAAAAAAGTGAAAATTTCATCTGATGTCCCATTTAAAGTATGAAAAAAATGCCATTTTGTTTGTGTTTTGTCAGTGTCAGAAAAAGGAAGAGGGGCAGATCAGAGTCTCCAGAACCCAGTGGTGTGTCTGTGAAGAGTGACAGGTCCATGGAGAATCCCATTGTATTCAGTGATGGACCAGTGATCCCTGACCCTCTGTTAGTGTAACTATTTCCTTGCTAATGTGAAACAACACTAAATACACTTCAAAATATGGGGCACAACTTGAAAAAACCTTGCTCTTTTATTTGGAATTTTCTCAACAGGAAGGAGGTATGTGGGCCGATCAGATCTGTACCATCCTCTGCATCCCACTTTCAGACTCACATCAGGCAGGACAACACTGAAGCAGTTCTGCAGAGACACACAATGGAGACTGGAGACCTGCAAACAGTCAAAGACCAGCACAAAACCAGCATGAAGAACAAGTATGAGTGCTTATTTGAGGGAAACAAACTTCAAGGGAATCAAACCCTCCTGAACAGGATCTACACACAGCTCTACATCATAGAGGGAGAGAGTGAAGGAGTGAATAAAGAACATGAGGTTTTACAGATGGAGACAACAGCCAGAACAAAACAGTCACAAGACACTCCAATTGACTGCAATGACATCTTTAAAGCCTCATCTGAACCAGGATTTGAGGAGAAAGAGCAAATCAAGACTGTTCTTACTAAAGGCATCGCTGGAATTGGAAAAACCGTCTCTGTGCAGAAGTTCATTCTGGACTGGGCCGAGGGAAAAGCCAATCAGGATGTGGATTTCATGTTTGTGCTTCCATTTCGAGAGCTGAACTTCATTAAAGATCACCAGTACAATCTTCACAGACTTCTGCTGGACATTCATCCTGAACTTCAAGATCTGGACTCAAAGATTTATGATGAATGTAAAGTTGTGTTCATCTTTGATGGCCTTGATGAAAGCAGAATCACACTGACGTTTTCAGACGGTGTGAAAGTTTCTGATATAAATGAGTCTTCATCAATGTGTGCGTTATTGTCAAACCTCATCAGAGGAGATCTGTTTCCCTCTGCTCTCATCTGGATCACTTCCAGACCAGCAGCAGCCAATCAGATCCCCTCAAAATACATCAAGCGTGTGGCAGAAATTCAGGGATTTAATGAGCCTCAGAAGGAGGAGTATTTCAGGAAGAAAATCAGTGACGAGCATCAAGCCAGCAGAATAATCTCACACATCAGAAGATCAAGAAGCCTCTACATCATGTGCCACATCCCCGTCTTCTGCTGGATCTCATCCACTGTGCTTCAGAACATCCTGAAACAAGATCTCAGTTCAGAAATCCCTCAAACTCTGACTGAAATGTACATCTACTTCCTGCTCATTCAAACAAATATGAGGAACCAGAAGTATGAAGAGAGAGATCCAGAGAAACTCCTGCAGTCCAACAGAGAAGTGATTGTGAAACTTGCTGAACTGGCTTTCAA